CCGCCGCTCTCCCCCCCGGAGAGGCCGGCGTTTGCGTGCGGGGCCCCCCGGGGTCCCCTCGGGTCTCAGGCGCCGTCCCAGCCCCGCCGCTCGCCGCCCCGGTGACCTTGCTCAGCCCGTTCCCCGCTCTGAGCCTCAGTTTACCCCTGGTGCGCAGTGGACGTCGTCTCCGCTGTCCGTCCCAACGGCGTGTGTGCTTGGCGGGCGCCAGGGTAGGCGCCGAGGTGGGTGACGGGCAGCGGCCCGCCGTCTGCCTGCTGTGCACACCAGGGCAGGTCGCCTGCCCTCTCTGGGCCGCCGTCGGGCAGGTGGCCTGGCACACTCGCCATGCCAGCGCTGGGGAGGCTGAGGCAGGGGGATCGACTTGAGTTCCATGCCAGCCGGGACTGTATACTTTGATTAAACAAAACAAAACTCCAACAGCCAGAAACAAAGGCCCTAAGCAGGAGCCCAGCTCCGTGGTCCGCACCCTGCAAGCCCGCATCGCCTGTGGGAGGGTGAGGCAGTTGGGTCACTGGGAGTTCAGGCCCAGCCTGGGCTACCTAGAGAATTCCAAGGCCCAGCCTGGGCTACCGAAGAAGTTACGTGGGATGCCGGTGTGAGGCCAGTTGAGCACCGCACCCGGCATCATAATTGATTTTGGAAAGGAAGTTACCACAGTAGGTTAGCTGTAAACGGGGGTTGTCGGCCCTCATCCCGGATGTGGGAGGCAGAGGCAGGCGGATCTCTGTGAGTTCGAGGCCAGCCTGGTCTACAGAGTGAGATCCAGGACAGCCAGGGCTGCACTGAGAAACCCTGACTCAAAACAAACAACATGAACTGGCCGCCACCACAACAAATGCAAACAAGTGGACGGAAGTGTCACTGTCTCTGTCCGTCACCTGGAGGGCCGGGGAGTGTCCCCGAGTTCCCGCAGGCCTGTCCGCCTTGGTAGCGGGGCTGGGGAGGACTCGGGGTCCCACCGGCTCATCTGCTTTGGTCTGTTCCCGTCTCTGGGTATTTGTTTGAGTGATTTTAACTTTGCCTGGCTGTTGTTGTCCCCGGAACCCTGGGCAGTGTTTGGGGACACTTGTGCGTGCTGTGACTGAAGGACTTCTGACTTGTGACACTGAGTGGCGGTCAGGCATGGTGTCCAGAATGAACGATGCTCCTGGAGGGGTGGGAAACAGGTCCATGAGTCAAGTGTTTGGTGCAAGGATCTGAGTTCGATTCCTTGCCTACCCAAGTATGAAGCCACAAGTGGTGGTAGCCCTTGTAATCCCAGTACAGGAGGCCAGAGATAGATGGGGCCCTGACTCTGGATAGCCAGCCTTGCCTTGTCTTCCAGCCTCATGTCCCAGGGCCAGACACTGTTGCGTTTCTTTTTGGTTTTTTGAGACCGGGTTTCTCTGTGTAGTTTTGGTGCCTGTCCTGGATCTCACTCTGTAGCCCAGGCTGGCCTTAAACTCACAGAGATCCGCCTGCCTCTGCCTCCCAAGGGCTGGTGCCGCCGCCGCCGCCGCCGCCGCCGCCGCCGCCGCCACCACCACCACCACCCAGTTAGTTTCTAAAAACAGGTAGCACTGGAAGAAGGACGCCTAGGTTGATGGTGTGTGAGCACACTCGCACACACAAATGCAGGAGTGCGCCAGTAATGAAGCATGCCTATGATGCCAGCGCTCAGGAAGCAGACACTGGAGGAGTTGCCTTAAATTTGAGGCTGCCCTGGGCTATGCAGTGAGCTCTAGTGTTAAAACGAACACTAGTCACTCCTCACCATTGAGGCCTCTGTGCAGATTATGTGGTCCCAAGATTGTGTGTGCACGCAGTTTTGTGAGGTAAAGTATTGCCCATGGACTCTGCATCCTGGAGCCGCTGTCCGTGGTCCCGGCTTCTGCTTCGTGGCTGGGCATCATCTCCAGTGAGCTATTCCAATCCCTTCCTGTTGTTTTCTTTTGAGACATGATCTCCCTCATCTAAGGGAGTGTGTGGGGGTGAGCACTGCCCACCGAGACCCAGGCTGTGGCCAAGCTCAGAAGCTGCCACACCGACCTGGCTTGTGAACTTACTGGTAGGGCTGGGGATGGAGACAGGCAGAGACATAGTCTGTAGCCTAGGCTAGCTTTTCTTTTTTCTTTTTTAAATTAATTAATTTATGTTATGTATGAGTGCTCTGTCTGCATGTACACTTTATGCCAGAAGAGGGCATCAGATCCCACTGTAGATGGTTGTGAGCCATCGTGTGGTTGCTGGGAATTGAACTCGGGACCTCTGGAGGAACAGTCGGTGTTCTAACCGCTGAGCCATCTCTCCAGCCCCCAGGCTAGCTTTATACTCTGGCAGTTGTCCTGGTACAGCCTCTCATATGCTGGGCTGAAGCTTGAGGCTCAGGCCTGCCTGGAGTTGGAGGACAAGCCCTGCCTGTCCAGAGCGTTCCCAGTGATCCCTGGAGTGTGCGCTGCACATGTTAAGTTAGCTGGGTGCCCAGAAAGTTCTGATCGTGCCAAGGTCTGAAGCCAAGCAGTATCATAGCACTTCCTGGCAGAGAGTTGGTCACCTCTGGCCCACACCACACACCAGCCACCCTGTGAGAGCCCTGCTCTGTCTTCCTTGGTCCTCATTTTTATATTTGAAACAGGAGTTCATATAGCCCAGGCTGCCCTCAGACTGTATAGCTGAGGATGGCCTTGAACTCCGGATCCTCCTGCCTTCACCTCCCATGTGCTGGAATGATGGGTGTGTGCCACCATGCTCTACTCTGTTTATTTTTGATTTTTGAAAGAGTTGTTGTCCGGGCAGAGGGCAGCGCACGCCTTTAATCCCAGTACTCGGGAGGCAGAGAAAGGCAGATCTCTGTGAGTTCGAGGCCAGCCTGGGCTACAGAGTGAGATCCAGGACAGCCTCGAAAAACCAAAAAAAAAAAAAAAAGCCTTCCCAATATTTTGGGGTTGGGGATTTAGCTCAGTGGTAGAGCACTTACCTAGCAAGTGCAAGGCCCTGGGTTTGGTCCTCAGCTCTTGGGGGGGGGAGTTGTTTTTGATTATGTACATACGTCTGGGTGTGTGCAGGTGTGTGCAGTGCCCGTGGAGGCAGAAGAGGGCAGGGGCTCCTGAGCTGGAGTCCCGGCGGTTGCGATTGGCTCCTCCAGGTGCTGGGAACTGACCCTCTGCATCCCCAGTGAGTGCTCCTCAGCAATGAACGTCTACCGCCTGCACTGTCTTCTGAGGGTGAAGCCGGGCTGGCTGTGAACTCACACCGCCTCCTGCGTTAATCTCCCGGAATGCTGGGATCACAGCCCTGGCTCTGGTGTGTTTCTATAAGGAAACCGGTGGCCCAGAAAGGGGGCCATGCTCCTCCAGAGACCGGATCACATGGCTTGGAGACTGGCCCTCTCACTTGCCACACGCCGCCCGTCCACCATGGTGTGGATGTCGCCTGGAGTTGGGGCCCAGGAGGCACTCTGGGGTCCATAGCCCGAGATGAGGCCTGAGGCTGCCTCGGGTTTGGGAGCTGGGTAGGACTGGGAGATAGAGACGGAAGGCTTTTATCTGGGGTGTGGGGGTGCCCCTGGAGTTTCAGGAGTGTGGAGTAGTCCCCCACCCCTTTCCCACAGCCAGTGTGCATGCAGGGGTTGCCAGGGAGCTGACGAGGGCCTTCACGTGTGCTGTGGTCTGGGGAGCTGCTGTGGGGGCTGCATTTAGCTTGGGGGAGCTGGCCGGGGAAGGGGGGGCGCTCTCTGCTTTCTTCATCGTATTGGTCCTGGACCTGGGCATAGCGGAGGAGAACGCCTGTGAGCTCTGCTCTGCTGGACTGGGTTCGTTTACTTCACTCTGAGACAGGGCCTCACTGCAGCCTCAGCTGCTCTGGAACCTGCTGTGTAGACGAGGCAGCCGCGGGGCTTTTTCTGTCTCCACTCACGCCCTGGCACCAGGGTCACACACACACACACACACACACACACACACACACACACACACACACGACGAGAACCAGCCATTAGGTGGGTGCTGGGAATCTGAACTCGGCCTTCCACTTACTCAGCGGGTGCTGTTGCCCATGCAGCCACCCTAGGTTTGGGCTTTGATTCTGAGATGAAGGTGTGAGCAGGTGTGCGATGCACACCCAGTGTGTTAGCTAGTGATCTGGGTCTGGTGATAAGTTAGCGCTGCAGGGAGGGGTAGTTGAGGCAAGGGATGGTGACTCTGAGGCTGCACGGCCCACTGTGCTCAGAAAGAAAGGGGAGAATAAAGGGAGGGGTTGGGCTGCTCCCCGGGAGCACCCTGGGACTGTGTCCTGTTCCCCCCCATCCCGTGCTCTGCAGCCCAGGCTGAGCCTGGGTGGTGGGCAGCTGCTCAAAGCCGCACTGTTCTGGAGAATAGGCCTTTGAGAGCCCCGTCCCTCAGCCAGAGCCTTCCCAAGCCATTGCCCAGGGTGGGGGAAATGGAGCCTCACGGCCGCAGAGGACGTCAGTGGCCGGGGGGGGGGGGGGGGGGGGGGGGGGATCGTGGCCTAAACTGATTTACAGCTGGGTGAGGATGGCAGGAGCAGGTGGCCGTCACTGAGGGACTGTGGCAGGCACTAACGTCTCCTCTTGGTGGTGACGTACCTGCTCGGCCAAGTGCCACGGAGGACCGGTGTTCTCTGCGGGGTGATCCTGGTCCCCACCCACGCCCCACGCCCTGGTCACACAGCTCTGGAGGCGGGGTGGAAAGAGCTCGGCCTGGAGCAGGCAGGCTGTTCGCATGCCTGGGGGGTTGTGTGTGACCACACGTGCAGAGGCCCTCACACCACGTCCTCCTCGGTGACTCCACCTGCCATAAACTCCAGAGGCCCCGTCCCCACCCCAGCGCCGTTACAGTGCCTCAGAGTGCCTGGCTCTTACATGGGTGGCAGGATTTGAACTCGGGTCCTCGTTTGCAGAGCAGTAAGCACTGCACACTGCCGTCCCCAGCCGTGGTTCTACAGCGCCGTGCGTGCGTGCGTGGGTGCCGAGGTGTGATGGCAGACGTGGAGGTGGAGGACAGCTCAGGCAGGAGTCGGCCTCTTCTCCTCCGTGTGGACGGGGTGGGATCCAGTTTGCCGCTCTCGACAACCTCCCTTACTAAGCCTTCTTGTTGCCCCGGTCCTATTTTTATTCAATTATTTGTCTTTATATTTTGTATTTTTTGGTTTTTCAAGAAAAGATTTGCCCTGGCTGTCCTGGATCTCACTCTGTAGCTCAGGCTGGCCTTGAACTCACAGAGATCGCCCGCCTCTGCCTCCTAGTGCTGGGAATAAAGGCGCGCGCCACTTTCAATCCCAGCCCTCAGTCTACTCAAACTGACCTGGAAATCAAGATTATTCTCTTGCCTCAGCCACCAGTGGCCAGTACCACAGGCTTGTGGCTCCTGCCCTGAATCTCTCCCTGAGTCAGGACCCTCCTGACCTCACTTTAACCTGATCACCTCCATAAAGACCCCGTCTCCAAAGACAGCCATGCTTGGGCTTGGGGGTTCAGGGTTCCCCGTGTAGAGGTCAGGGGACAGTGTATTCGCTTGTGGGGCTGTGGTCGTGGGTGCCAGCCTGGAGACCCCCACAGTGCTGTCTTCATGTGTGTTAGTTTGAGATTGACCCTGCCCCTCTCAGGTCTTGGTCCGACACCGCCTTCTAGAATGTTCTTCCAGGTGCTGTTTGACATCTGGTCCGGGGCTGGAGGCATGGCAGAGTGCCAGTCACTGTGTACGCTGGCACAGGTGTCCTCAGGCCGGGGTGTCTGGGGCCAGCGGGCATGTCTGGAGGGCTTGGCCAGTGGCCAGCACCCCACCACTGCCTAGGGCAAGCCCTCTGTCGTGGGTGCCCAGAAGGTCACAACAGAAGCTGGGAGCTGGGGGAGAGACGGGGTAGCCAGGCCTGCCCACGTGGTCTTCCTCAGAGGAGAGGACAGACAGACAGACGGTGTAGAAAGGCCATGGCCAAGGCAGGCATGGCCAGCTGTGGTGTCTCAGGTCTGCTCGGGCACAGGCAAGGGCCACCCAGCCTAGGTGGGGGCCCAGGGCTCCCAGCCACAAGGGACATCCTGCAAGGCCTCAGGGGTGTGCCCCACACTGCCTCCTCCAGCCAGGCTCTGGGCACCCCCTCTTTCCACCACCTGTGAAGACCTGCCGGCCCCGCCTTCGGTGACAGAGGGGACTGAGACTCAGGAGACTGCGCTGGTCTCTGGGGGTCCCACAGTGCAGTCAGTCTATGCTGAGGAGTCACGGCATCCGTGACAAGTGTGCCCCACTGTGGCGAGGACTGCCCATGACGGCGCCGTGGCTCACTGAGGTTTCTGTCAATCCCACCTTACAGGGGTGGCAACTAAGACTCTGAGGTCAACAGGGCATCTGGCTTATTGACGTTGAGAGTCACATGACCTTCAGGGCCTGGGTGATCACATGGCAAGTGCCAAAACTCTAGGCCGGCTTCTGCCCAGGCCTGGAGAGCACAAGTCAGAACTGGCATGGCAGAGCCCCAGGTGTCTTCCTTCCTGCCCTCCCCGCCCCCGGGGCTGTCGCTACCCTGGTCCCTTTGCTTGTGGCCTCTTCATATGCTGTGGTGCCGGGGGCCAAACACCTTCCTCTTTGAGGGTTCCTGTCAGGTTGCCCGAGCTCATGGCTCCCTCGGGGACGTAACCTCGGTACCCTGCCCCAGAGGGACCGAGTCGCCCCAGAGTGGTCAGGAATGCCCGTCCAGCTGTCCTCTGCAGTCCAGAGGTGACCGGGTGGCACCATGCAGTGACACCAGGTGTCGGGGACCGGGGCTGGTGAGCTGAAGCACCTGCCGAGCTCTGGGTGTGGGGGGTTCAAGGAGTTAGACACCTCAAAACCCTGGGCTCCCCGAAAACAGCTGTGCTCACTTGGCCCTGGGGAGGCCGCACAGATTGGCGGGCATGCTGCAAAGGGGTAAATTGAGGAAAGAGTGCCTGGAGGCAGCACTATTTGCTCGGGTCATGCTCTCCCTCCCTAGCGCTGTGTCCTGTGAGACAGTCATTTCTGTGGTCTGTGACCCCATGCCGTGGTGTCCCCAGCTGTCACAGGGGCGGATAGAAGGCTCTGCCTAGTGGCCTTGACACTAAGATTGGCTGGTGCTCTTGGGCCAGTTCTGGTCATGCCAGAGTCAAGGGCAGGTTTCCATGCCTGGTTCCACACCCTCACTTTGTCCTCACAGATCCTGAGCAAGCAGCCTCACCTCAGCAGCCTCGAGATGGACAACAGGAAGCGCCTGGCCTTTGCCATCATCCAGTTCCTGCATGGCCAGCTGCGGCATGGCGGGCTCTCACCTGATGCCCAGGAGAGCCTAGAGGGTAGGTGTGGCTTCTGCCCTGCTAGCCTGTCCGGGCCCAGGACACCTCAGCCTGCCCACCAGAGAAGCCAGCGGCAGCCAGCATGCATGCCTGGCCTGGGCGTCTGTCCCTTCCTTGGCTCCTAACGGGAGTAGCAGGTGCCCAGCACTCCACTGGTGCCCCGGGTTCCCCTTCCTGGAGCTCATGGCCGTGCACTGTCACCTCCCCGCTGGCAGCCGGGGTACAGTTCCGTCCTCCTCAGCCTCCCAGACACCAGCGTCCAGCCTCCCTGCCCATCCTTCCCCTACTCCGGGAATCCCATGTCTAGCGGAAGACGGTGGTTCTGGGGCAGCCTCAGTGGCTAGTGGCCTCCTGTGTGGCCTCCTGTGCCTTCCTCGTTGTGTGGCACTATTCCTGGGAGACGGGACAAGTGTCTGTTGGCCTCAGATGGGGGGCTGATGATAAACCAAACGCAGACACCACCAAAGCCCAGCTTGTGAGCCAGTGAGTCTGGGGGTCACTTACAGAAGCAGAAATGACTCCGTGACAGCTGCGTCACCAGAGCCCACCCTGCATGGGTGCCTGCCCCCAAGCTCTGACCCAGAGTGCACCACACAGCCAGTGTCCTTTCCCAAGGTACCACTGCTCAGAGACTGAGCAGCCCTGCCTGCTACATCCGGTCTGCTTCAGAGGCTTCCTGTCAGCCAGCTCCCTGGCGGCATGAAGTGCTAGTCAAAGCTGAGGCCGGACCTTGAGGGCCAGCACAACTGTCCCGGGAGTGGCAGATCCACAGCGTGTATACCACCCCGGGAAGGGTAGCTGCCCCAGGGCATAGGGACACTGAACTCTCCTCTGCAGGGCAATTTGAGCTGTTCCCAAGGACAGGTGTCAGGGACAGCCCTTGTGCTGATGTCTCAGGTCAGGCCGAGCCTCAGCATTGTGACCCCACAGAGGGCGTGAGGTCACCCACCTCAGGCCTCCTGTGTGTGCCTCCTGCCGCCAGGATGGGCCAGTGTGACGAGGCCGACTGGAGGTCGGGTGCAGGTGCTGGGCCAGGCTTTCAGGTACAGGGGGAAGGCCCAACGGAGCCCTGGACTGGGCTTCCCTCGGTGGGTCGAGCTCGCAGCCCAGCTTGGGTGAAGAAGTCCTGGGCTCAAGCGGGGCGTGGTGGTGCTCACCTGTTCCCCTGCACTCGGGGTGGAGGCAGGAGGACCAGGGCTTCCGACACGTGCTTGGCTATGTAGAGTTTGAGGGCAGCCTGGGCTACATGAGACCCTATCTCGAGAAACAAGGAAAGTGCCGGAGCTTCCTGCGGGTTCTGCCTGGTGCCTGGGAGGCCTGCCCTGCATGGAGCCCTGCTGATCTCTCTCCTGCACAGTCGCCATCCAGTGTCTGGAGACCGCCTTTGGGGTGACGGTGGAGGACACTGACCTCGCGCTTCCCCAGACCCTGCCAGAGATATTTGAAGCGGCCGCTGCCAGCAAGGTGAGCTTGGGCTTCCCGTGCCTGCACCGTGAGGGCAGTGTGAGGGCATTTGCTGCTTCACAATCCCGTCGTGTCCAGGTCGGCATCCTGCGAGGGCAGGTTTGGCTGGACACGACGGGATTGTTTCATCTCTAGCAGGAGATGCCACAGGAGCCGAGGGGCCCTGACAGGACGCCACCCTCTGAGGAGGATTCCGCTGAGGCAGAGCGTCTCAAAACCGAAGGTGAGGGAGGCAGCTGTCCCATAGAACCTCTGCTTGGGCCAAAGGCTGCGGTCAGTGAGGTGGCTGGGGGCTGGGGGGAGAGGACGGGGTGCTTTTGGAGGTGCATCTGTGGGGTGCTGGAGGAGGTCAGCAGTTCACATGAACTGTTCTTGCAGGAGTCTGAGATTGGTTCTCAGGATACTTACGAGCAGCTAGCTCACCGCTGGTTCTGTGCCCGGCTCTGGGGCATCCAGTGCCCTCTTCTGGCCTCTGTGGGTATTTAAAAAATAATAATAAAATAAAATAATAAAAGAGTCCAGTGTGGTGGTGCACACCTTCAGTCCCAGCACTCTGGAGGCAGACGTAGGTGAACCTCTGTGAGTTCAAGGGTAGCGTGGTCTACAGAGCGAGACTATCTCAAAAATCCAAAGGGAGGGAGAAGAAAAGCCTGATAGCTGTGTGAACCATGGCTTTCGGGAAAACTCCCAAAGACGCGGACTTGGGCAGACCACAGCCCTGTATTGCAATCCATGGCTTCTAGAAGGTGCTGGCCCTGCCTGCCCCGCTCTGTGCGGGATGCACTCGGCTGGAAAACGAGCCATGCGCGCTGCATCCCTGACCTTGTCACCCAGACACTGCAGTGGGCCGGCCCGGGCCCGGCATGCGTGAAGCTGGCTTTCCTCCCCAGCACGGTGTTTCCCAGGCACGGTGTCCCACCTCTCCTTGCAGCACTGGGAGCTGAGGCCGGAGGGCAGGAGTTGGCCACATCATAAGTCTGAGGCCACCCTGGGATGTCCGCATGACCCCTTACCTGGAAATGAGTCTCCCTGCTGGGGTGGATGGCAGCATGGGCTAGCCTGGGATCTCTCCCCCTGTAGGTAACGAGCAGATGAAGCTGGAGAACTTTGAGGCGGCTGTGCACCTCTATGGAAAGGCCATCGAGCTCAACCCCGCCAACGCCGTCTACTTCTGCAACAGGTACTGGGCTGGCCAGCGGGGCACGCTGGTAACGGGGCCTGGGAAGAGCACATGGCCGAGTGGGCTGTGCATCCTGGCTGTGGTTCTGAGTGAAGCGCGGGCTCAGGCAGTCTCCCGGGGCGTGCCATCCGAGGTGGCGTGATCCTCATGAGGACAGAGCTGGGTGACAAATGCAGCCCTGCTCCAGACAGCTGGAGACTCCCATGCCCTTGTCCACGCTGTGATTTTCCTCCTGGGTTTTTCTTCTCATTATCTGAGGCAGGGTCTCACATAGCCCCGTGTACCTCTCGAGGTCGGTGGTAACGCCTTGGAGCCTCTGTGGTCCGGGTGGGGTGGGGTGGGGCGTCCACCTTCCGGCCACAGACCGGCTCCTCGAGAGGCCCCGTCCCCTGCTAACCGTTCCTCTCCCCAGAGCCGCAGCCTACAGCAAGCTGGGGAACTACGTGGGGGCCGTGCAGGACTGTGAACGCGCCATCGGCATCGACCCGGCCTACAGCAAGGCCTACGGCCGCATGGGGTGAGTGCGGCCAGCAGCTGGCGCTGCGCTGCGCGCCCAGGGGTCAGGAGCAGGCTCCCCGGCGGCCTTCCCAGTCGCTGTGTGCTTAGTGCCCAGGCTGTGGGGATGCGGGCCCTCCCCGTGGTCCGCAGGACGAAGGTCTCTGTCCCCTCCCCTCTTCTCGTTTATTTATTTATTTATTTTTTAAGGGTCCAGAAATTTTTATTTTTTATTTTTTTTAGTTTTCAATGTGGCATTTCGTTTGCAAATATGACAGACCTTGAAAGCACACGAAGGGGAGATGAGAAAGATTCCATTAGTTTTTGGAAGGAATTTCTTCTCTTCAGAGACAGTCTCCTAGACGCTCACCTCAGGGAAGGATGCTCTGACTGCTCACCTGTGCCAGCGTCGGGGTGAGCTGAGCCGAGTGGGCAGTGGAGACTTAGCTGAACTGGGACGTGTGCCGCTCTAGATCAAAGCCAGGGCATTGATCACAGAGCCATTGGGGACAAAGTCGACATGCTGACTTGAATTTTTATCTTCCTTCTTCTGGATCGCTGTGTGTGTATGTGTGTGTGTGTGTGTGCGCGTGTGTGTGTGTCTGTGTGCGTGTGCGTATGCGTGCGTGTGCGTGTGTGTGTGCGCTGTGCGTGTGTGTGTGTGTGTGTGTGTGTGTGTGTGTGTGTGTGTGCGCGCGCACGTTGGTTAGGGGCACATGTATACAGCAGAGGGAGGTGTCAGCTGTCCTCTTCAAACGCTCTCCCCGTCACCGAACCTGCAACTCACTAATCCGGCTGCACAGGCCCAGCAGGTCCCGGGCCGTCCTGCCGCCCTCCCCGGTACTGGAATCACAGGCAGATGCCGTTGCCCCCAGCTTTTCACATCTGCCCACCCCTCTTTAATTTAAACTTTTATTTTTATTTTGGTTTTTGGAGACTGGGTTTCTTTGTGCAGCCCTGGCTGTCCTGGATCTCACTCTGTAGCCCAGGCTGGCCTCGAACTAACAGAGATCCTCCTGCCTCTGCCTCCTGAGTGCCTGGATTAAAGGCGTGCGCCACCACGGCTGACTGCCCCATCCCTTTGTTCTTTTGGGTGACCAGCCTCAGGTCCCCTCAGTGGTAGTCAGATGTGGCTAGGGCTTTGTAACAGAGAGTGGATGGCACTCGTCACCCAGAGAGGGCCACTGGTGCCAGGAACAGGCATAACCTCCCAGCCGTGCCTGGTCTCCTCAGGCTGAGAACGACCTCTGGAGCCCTCTCTATCCTTATGCGAGTTCCCCCTCGTGTCCAGCCTCGGTCCATACAGCAGACAGGGCAGGGTTGGCGCTGGGTCCCGTGGCTGGGCCCCACCGCGGCTCACCTGGCACACTCTTGTCCCAAGCCTTGCGCTCTCCAGCCTGAACAAGCATGCAGAGGCCGTGGCTTACTACAAGAAGGCGCTGGAACTGGACCCTGAGAACGACACCTACAAATCCAACCTCAAGATTGCGGAGCTGAAGCTGCGGGAGGCGCCCAGTCCCGTGAGCCCATCTCATAAGAGGGGGATGGGGAGGCGTCTGCACCCTGCTCTGGGGCCACATGGGGCCGTGTGGGTCATAGAGGAGCTGGGGACGTGCAGCAGGGACCCTCCATGTCTGTGTGATGGTAACAGGTGTGCAGGCCCCAGACAGGGTGGTGGGCGAGGCTGCCCAGGGGTCACAGTGACAGGCAGCTTGTTGGGGGCTCCTGGTAGGACCCTCCCTGAATGGTGTAGAGCCTCCGAGACCCTGCGGGCCGGGCCAGTCCCCCCAGAGTGGCCAGCCTGGCTCCAGACACCACTAACTGATGCTTCTCCTTCAGACGGGAGGCGTGGGCAGCTTGGACATCGCCGGCCTGCTGAATAATCCGCACTTCATCACCATGGTAGGCACCCGCCCTCAGCCCCTCTGCCACCCAGGCCGGGGTCCCCGCCCCAAGCCTGCCTCCTGGTGAGCACCCACGGGGAAAGGGCCCAGGTGCCCCACTGTGGGGACAGCAGGGCAGTGGAGTAGTATGCCAGCGGGGTCCCTGCGAGGCCACCTTTCTGCTTCCTAGCTGTTCTGCGTGTCTCAGCCGCGGCCTCAGCCAGCAGGGCTCGGGTGAAGTCCACTCTCTGACTCTGTGGGCACGCTTTGTGACTCAGGCTCCATTTGCTCGGTCCAGGGGCCTCCGGAGGGCGGGTGGGGCCGTTTGGGGTTGAGCAGTGTTTTTCACCCTGAAAGGCTCCACTCAGCTGAGCATGGTGGTGCAGGCCTGAGAGCCAAGCACTGGGATGCTGAGACAGGAGGATGGCAAATTCCAGACCAGCCTGAGTTACGTGCTGACACTGTCAGAACAAGGCGGGAGCTGGGCACGGCTCTGCGGTGACCCGGGCTGCGTGGGGACGGCGCCCTGGGCATCGCGAAGGAAGGGATTGGTGTCAAGTGGGAGACGGCGGGAGGCAGGGGCACAGCCGCCGGGAGGGGGCACGTCCGTCCGTCCGTCTGTCCGTCCCTCTGTCCCTCCGTCTGTCGGGAGGTCAGTGTGGCCAGGCTCAGCCTCTGATGTGCCTGCCTTCTTTTCTCCAGGCTTCCAGTTTAATGAACAGTCCCCAGCTGCAGCAGCTGTAAGTGACGCCCCGCGGCCCTGCTCGGGGCAGGGGCGACCCCTCTCCCCTCACTCTCCTACTTCTACTGCTGTGTATGGCTGTGTGGGCTGCGTGTGTTCTGGGCACCCTGTGTGCATGGCCCAGTGAGGCGAGAGCAGGGTGTCTGATCCCCTGGAACTGGAGTTAGAGATGGTTGTGACCCGCAGTGTGGGTGCTGGGAATAGAACCCAGGACTTTATGAGAGCGGCCAGCGCTCTAACCAAGAACATCTCTTCATCCCTGGTACAATTGCTTGTTAAATAAGAGAAAGCCAAGGTTGCTTCCTTTGTTTGCTTGTTGGGTTGGCTTTTTGTGTAAGAGAAATCCCAAGTCTACTTTAATAGTTATGTTTGAGGCAGGGTCCCACCATGTAGCTCCAGCTGGCCTGTAACACTTGATGTGGACCAGACTGACCTTGAGCTCAGAGTGCTGGATTAGGTGTGCTGCCTACCTAGAGTTCATTCTTAATCAAGAAACGGCCGGGGGGGGGGGGGTGGTGCACGATAGTAGGATTTGCTGAAGGAGGCGGACGCGGGAGGATCACGAGTTCAAGGCCAGCCTGGGCCACACATGCCTGGCAGTGGTGGCGCCCACCTTTGGTCCCAGCACTAGGGAGGCAGAGGCAGGAGGATCTCTGTGAGTTCGAGGCCAGCCTGGGCTACAGAGTGAGATCCAGGCCAGGTACCAAAACTACACAGAGAAACCCTGTCTCGAAAAACAAAACAAACAACACACAAAAAAGAAGCTGGGTGGTGGTGTGGCCGTCATGGTGTCTGCCTACAGAGCCCTCCGCCCCCACGAGCCTTCATCCCACCCCTCCCCAGATCTCAGCACCCACAGACCTACTCCCAACTCTGCATTGGCTTCTTGTGGACATTTCCCATCCTGGTCTGCCTTTCAATGAACAGAGTCCTTGGGGTCCCTCGGTGCTGTGGTGTGTGTCAGAACATCCTGTTCAGGGCTGTGTAATATTTCAGTCTGCCATGAGCCCTTTGTTCTGACTGCCGTCAGCTGCGCTGCTGGGGACGCGATGGCACAAGTCTCATTCCCGGGTTGGAGCCCGGGGTCACCTCTGTCTTGCTAAGGAATTTCAGTGGCTGATTTTACGCTCCAGCCCTGTCTCTGTGCGTTGGTGCTGCTGGCGCATTCTCCATAGGGCGCCGAGGTCTCCTCTTCCTGTGTGGGCAGACACCTGAGAGACGCGGGGTCACGACGGGGAAGGCCCCCTCACCTGACCCCGGGGCCTGTGGGTCCTGGGAGGCCGAGGGCGGTGCCCCAGGCTGTGTGCTCAGCCCTTTCTCCCGCAGGATGTCAGGCATGATCTCTGGCGGCCACAACCCCCTGGGCACCCCGGGCAGCAGCTCCTCGCAGAGTGACTTGGCCAGCCTCATCCAGGCGTGAGTGATGCCGCCGCTGCCGCTGCCACTGCCGCTGTGGGGCTGGGCGGGGCTGAGGGGGGGAGGGGCCCAGCAGGTGGGGAAACACAGTCGGTCTCCTGGGCCTCCGCAGGGGCCAGCAATTCGCACAGCAGATGCAGCAGCAGAACCCCGAGTTCGTGGAGCAGATCCGGAGCCAGGTGGTGCGCAGCCGGACACCCAGTGCCAGCCACGAGGAACAGCAGGAGTGACGGTAAAGCCGCCAGCGCTGCCTGGCTCCCTGCTTGTCGGTACCGCTAAGAAATCCCAGATTCCCTGTCTGCATGGGAGTTAGTGAAACTGACGGCCACCCTGCTTTCACCTTCTTGTCCTTTTTTATTGCGGTAGTGCAGGTAGATGAACCTAGGGCTATAGTGTGTCCAGGGGCTCCACCCTGACCACGCCCCCAGCCCCCCACTGGGGATTCTGGGCGGGGCCCCACCCTGACCACGCCCCCAGCCCCTCACTGGGGGTTCTGGGCGGGGCTCCACCCGACCACGCCCCCAGCCCCTCACTGGGGATTCTGGGCGGGGCCATGTACAATCACGGCCAACCTCAGGTTCTGGTCCTCAGACCCCAACCTTTGAGCTGTCACTGGCCTGGAATTGTGTTAAGTTCTCCAAGCTGGGAAGTCCCCACCCCCCATGTCTGGCTTTGCTGGCTCACTCCATGGCGCTTGACTATTTATGTGACTTCTGCAGCCTGAACTCAGGTCCTCCAGTGTGGGAAGTCAGCACTTCACAGGCCGGGCCATCCCCCAGCCCTGATACTGGTTAGGTTTTTGGTCTCAAGTTGCCAAGGCTGTCTGCAAACTCCTGACCAGCCCCTATGTGCTACCACATTCCACGGCCGGAGTTCCTGCAGCCATGGTGCCCCGGGTGTCCCCCCCACCCCGCCCTCCCTTGCCAGCCCTGGTCTGGCCGTGGCCTCACTGCCCTGACTTGTGTCCGCAGCTCCTCTGTGTGGTGATCCCGTCGCGCCTCGGCCTCCTGGAGTTTTAGCGTTTTCCACGTCGGGCTGCCCAAGAGAGACTGGACCTGCATGTTAAGACGGACTTGTCCCCCGTTTCCCTTCACCCCACTTCTGTTTTTGTATTCCTGCCCCCCACGCCTTCCTGGAAGAGAGTCAGCCAGAGAGCTACACACCAGCACCCATTGCTCCAGCACCTAGGGAGGCTGCGTGGTGGGGGACGGGGACCCCACCCTGCCCGGTTTAAAGGGACTTGAATGGTTGGCTCTCGGCCCCCTAGGAAGCGTCCACTGCCAGCCCCAGCCGGGTGCCAGCCTTCTGCGCCCACACGTGGGCTGCAGGTCCCAGCAGGTGCCCCTGCTTGCCTTATCCCGGTGACCTATGCCCACAGGGGAGGCCTGTGACTGGTGCCTCGCTTGTGGACTGTCCGTGTCTCCTCCCCCCGGCTTCCCTCGTCTCCACATCTGTCAGCCAGTCCTAATTTTGTGTCCAGTCCGGCTCCGTCCTTAGCCTGGGCAGAAGACGCAGACATCCTGGCCCGTCTGACCCTCTGTCCTCGATCTCAAGGGAATTCAACGTCTCTGGGTTTCGCAGGCAGTTTTGGGGTGTCGGCCCCCAGGCCAGGCCATGTTCTCAGCCCTGAAATAGCCACCAGAACCATTTTTGTTGCGGGGCAGTTTGTCAGTGAGGGAGACCGTAGGATATCCCCACATCCGCCCTCAGCCCTGGGAGTGGGAGGCCAGGTCGCAGGGCCGCTGGACCAGCGGGGTCATGATGGTCAGGCTGTGTGGCAGGTAGTGCCAGCTGTGAGTTGTAGGTAGCCAGTAGGAAGATGGGCCCCGCGGCCAGCGCTGTCCACTTGTAGGGCACAGCAGTGCCCACGTGGGCACAGAACACCTGGGTAATAAAGAGACAAGGATGATGCTTGGCCTCCGGTGTCAGCCTGGGTCCCACTGATGTGACAGCTAACGGGACTTTAGCCTGGGGGGGGGCAGTCTGTCCGTCTGGTACACAGACGTGGTGACGCCCCTCAGATAGGACACATGGGGACATCTGGGTTAGAGCTGGGCAGAGACTACGGGTGGGTCCGTGGGGATGCAGCCGCACCCGTGGGAAATGAGGCCCAGCCATGCAGTCGGGAGGCTGCCCTGTCTCTTCCCTGTGTTCGCTTCCGCAGGCCACCAGAAACAATCGTGTCAGGGAGGGTATGGGAGGCCGGGCAGGCCTGCAGGGGCACAGGCTCCCTGGGGCAGGTGGTGTCAAGGGACCCTAGATTCTGGGGTCGGTCTCAGTGTGTGTCTATGTGTGTCCCCAGAGAACGGCCTTCGCATGTTCTGTAGGCTTGGGGTGAGTAACCCCAGGGCTGGTCATATGGTCGCCTGTGTTGGTGACGTGTCTTTGGGTTGCAGTGATGACAGCCACCGCAGAGCTGAGGGCGCCGACGTCCACCTCTGCGCCAGTTATCACTACGCCCCCAGCCATTCTTGTCACGGAGTCAGCAAGCATCATCAGCTGGGCGTGGTGGTGTGGACCATTGATCCCAGCACTCAGGAGGCAGAAGCAGGCCATCACGGAGTCCAGGCCAGCCTTATTTACACACTTCCAGGACAGCCAGGGCCACACAGAGAAACCCTACCTTTAAAAAATTTTGTTTTGCTGAGTGGTGGCACTCATCTTTAATCCAGCAGATTTAATCAGGAGAAGAGGCAGGCGGATCTCTGTGAGTTCAAGGCCAGCCTGGTCTACAGAGCGAGTTCCAGGACAGCCAGGGCTGCACAGAGAAATGCTGTGGACTTTGTCCATTGGGTGGTTTCTTCTCAGTGAGAGTGCTCTCAATGTACAGAGCAGGCTAGCCTCAAGCTCAGCAGCGCCCCTCAAACTGCCGAGTGCTGTGTCCCCAAGCCCAGCTGAAATAACGCTTTGCAATCACAAGAGTGAAGAGGGGGGCAGAGGGGGGTGGGAGGAGGGCAGAGGCTCTCGACACGTTACCCTGGCGCTGGGGGGGGGGAGGAATTAGGCCGGCCATAAGTGGGTAGCAAGGGTGCGTAGGGTGGGCTGGACAGATGCTGCTGCAGCTCCTGCGGCTTGCGGTGACATGACACCCTTTCAGCTGACACTGCGGTTCCCCACGGTGGCTGCCCTGTCCTGGCGTCTGGCTGCCGTGGGAACAGAAGCTGTCATGGATCCAGGCCATGTCTGCATGGGTGACTTTTTGGCACTGAGTGTCTCCTGACTTGGAGTGGGTGTAGTCCAGGGAGACCTCAGTGCCCCAGACACTGCACAGAGAACAACTTGGCCCATCCTCGGTGTGGCATGAACTAGTGCTAGGTTTGATTTGGTTCTTTTGAGACGGTTTCTCTGTAGCCCAGGCTGGCTGGGGAGCAGAGATCTGCCAGCCTCTGCCTCCCAAGTGCTGGCAGTGAAGGTGTGGACCACCACTGCTCAGCAATGGTTAGGGGTTTTAATATCAGCAGGAAATAGTGACTAAGTGGTTAAGAGCACTGGCTGCTCTTACAGAGGACCCAGGTTCTGTTCCCAGCACCCACATGGTTGCTCACAACTGTAACCAGTTCCAGAGGATGTGAGGGCCCCTTCCGGCCTCCTGTGGCATTGAATATGGCGTACAGACACTCATGCCAGCAAAACAGTCATAAATTGAATCCCAGGCCTGAAGACGCAGAGGCAGGCGGATCTCTGAGTTCAAGGCCAGTCTGGTCTACAGAGTGAGTTCCAGGACAGCCAGGGCTACACAGAGAGCCTGGCTCAAAGGAAAAGAAAGACCGGAAGTTGTATGCGCCTCCCTGTGTCTACCCAGCTGACAGAATTTGTTTCCAAATTTAAGATAAACCTAGAGAGGTCGGCACCATTCCGAGGTCCGCGCCCTTCCGAGCATGGCCAGCAGGAGGAGCCCTGCACTTGCAGCATCTGGCTGCAGCCTATAAACAAGCCTCAGTGTCCTGACAGGAACCTCCTGCTCCCCAGCAGGTTCTCCTGCCCACAAAGTGGGCAGACGGACCCCTTCCCGGGGGAGCTGGGGCAGCAGACGGACCTGCACAGAGAACCCAAACTCCACGGAGCTGGACCTATCCTCAGGGCTGTGAGCTCCTGGGGTGGCTTCTGCTTCTCCTGTCCCATTCAAGGTCCGAACTACAGAACCAGGTCCACTCCTGGCGTCCCAACACTAGGGAGGCTGAGGCAGGAGGATCAAAAGTTTAAGGCTGGACTAGACTGCAGAGCTAGGCCCTGTTCAAACAAAAAAGGCCAACGGTCTACATGCTTGCTGGTGGCTAGGAGAGGCCTCCCTCCCTCATCTTGCCGTCTAAGTTTGGGGATCATGACGATAAACATTCCTATAACCTCCACCACAGTTTTCCCAGTGCTCATGATTACCTTCCAAGGCCCTGCAGATCCAGCCAGATCATGAACTGCCTGCCTTCAACTAACCTTGTCTTTTCCTAGAACTTACGGTCCTGGCACATTCTCTTGTGGGTTTTGGGTTCTTTTGACACTATATTGAAGGGGCTCATTGTAGCAGGAATCTTAAAAGTTCTTATTAATAAAATCAAACCCAAGGCGAGTTATTGGGGTCCATGCTGGTAGATCAAAGAGACAGAACAAGCCACAGCTATCTCACCTTGCCAGTTCCTCAGCTGGTCCTGTTTCCTCAGACTGGAAGCTTCTGTGTCCTCATCCCAATGGCTCTCAGCTGAACTGCTGCTAGAAGCCTGAATGCTGAACCAACCAAATGCTTCTAGTTTCTGGTCCTCACGCCTTATATATCTTTCTACTTTCTACCACCACTCCCTGGGATTAAAGGCTGGCTTTCTGGGATTAAAGGCGTGTGTCACCATGCTTGGCTGTTTCCAATGTGGCCTTGAACTCACAGAGATCCAGAGGGATTTCTATCTCTGGAATGCTAGGATTAAAGGTGTGAGTGCCACCATTTTCTAGCCTTTGTATCTAGTGGCTGTCTGTTCTCTGACCCCAGATAAATTTATTAAGGTACACAATATTTTGGGGAACACAATACCACCACAGCTCATATTCCACATAGTCCAGTCATTATGATTGCTGCCTCGTTTTCCACTGTATGGACACGCCATAGGTATTTTTATCCACTCATTAATGGATGTTAGGGTTTGGAGTTTGGGAACTCTGTAGTTTTTGTTTGATATGTTGTCTTAGTTTGGGTTTCTATTGCTGTAAAGAGACACCATGACCATGGCAACTCTTTTTGTGTGTGTGGGGGGAGGGGCTTGAGACAGGGTTCCAGAGTAGCCCTGGAACTTACTTTGTAGATGAGGCTGGCCTCAAATTTGGAGATCTACTTGCCTCTGTCTCCCAAATGCTTGGATTAAAGGAATGTGCCACCACCACCCAGCTATGGCAATATAAAGGAAAAACATTTAATTGGGAGTCTTACAGTTTCAGAGGTTTAGCCCATTACCTTCATGGAAGTGTGTAGGCAGACATGGTGCTAGAGAAGGAGCTGAGAGTTAATACATCTTGATCCTCAGGCAACAGGAAGTGAACTGACACTGAGCGTGGCTTGAGCATGTATGATTCCTCAAAGCCCGCCTCCACAGTGACACACTTCCTCTAGCAAGACCACACCTACTCTCACAAAGCCACACCTAAGAGCGCCACTCCCTATGAGTTTATAAGGACCAATTATTTTCAATTTATTATAATATATCAGATAATATATAATATATTTTATTATATAATGTCAAATCTTTGTAGTATATATGTCATGTTATATTATATATTATTTGAATATATCATGTACTAGCACATATGTATGAAGGTTTTGTGTGTGTGTATATCTGCACACCACTTTTCTGCCTGGTGTCATGCAGTCTCAAAGGAGCCGTCAGATCCCTATGACTGGAGTCACAGATGGTTGTGAGCCACCGTGTGGGTGCTGGAATTGAATCCAAGTCCTCTGTAAGAGCAGACAGTGCTGCTAACCACTGATCCGTCTCCCATAACCAGCTT